AAAAGTCAAAAAATCACTATTCTATTTAAATCACATTGTCTTGTTTAAATCACATCATCTCTCTACCACATCACTTCAAACACAACCCATATTTCATAAAAAAATCAAAAAGTACACTTATTTAGAACATCCCAAACAACACCTAAATTGAGATAAAATTATAAATTCATAATTAAAATCGAACCAATTAAAATTATAAAGATCAAAATGATATAAGGATCAAAATATAATAACCCTTAAAAATTTGTAAGGCAACCCTTTTATACAGTGACTTTTCAAAAATTTGAAGAGAGTGAATTGAATTTGGAAGGGATATGGTTTAAATTTTTTGATGAATAATATAAAAGTGAAATTTCTAAATTTTTTGAAGGTTCAGAGGCCACTCAATCCTTCACTTTGCCCCTAATCCTAGCATTATTGTGTTTGTAATCATTAATAGTTTTACGAGGATCAAAGTTCGTTTTATGAAGGAATGAACTGGTCTCCAATTCACTATTGTGTGAGCTCGGAGGACTTGTTTATTTTATTTTCATTATCTGATCTGTTATTTTATATATTTGAGAAAATTAAATTGATTGGATTTGGATTCTTTTCATCGGTAATTACATTTTTTTATCACTATAGTTTTATTTAAATTTTATTTTAATATCTATTATTTTAATTTAAATAATTTAGTTCTTACTATTTAAGTTCAATTTTAATTTAGTTATCTTGTTTAAATTTTAATTATTATTTTTCTATTTGTACATTGTAAGAGATTGACAAATTTTCAAAAACTAAATTTAAGTCTCCAATTCAGACAAAAGAGCTAAATCAAAACTAAACTTATAGTGTAATGATTAAATTATTCAAATTGAAACAATAAGGATTAAAATAAAATTTGAGTCAAAGTACACAGGTGAAAAGTATAATATACCATTTTTAAAATACATGTATGTACCAAACTATATTTATTTATTGGATAAATTACACTTTTAACTTGTATAGTTGTTTATTTGAATTTTTGAAGGGCCGAACCAAGCACATGACTAACCTAAGCAGCAAAGTGCTTCGAATGATGTAACAACACCAATAAAGTGCTTCGAATGAGTATAAAATTATGACTAGATGACTCGAATTATTACTAGTAACAAGCTTCGAAAGTGATATAAAGGACCAAAATCATTCTTCGAAGGTCGATGGAACCGACAAAAGACGAATTACATCCTCGAAAATACTTGACAAAGCTTCGAAGGTTCACAACCACCATTATTATTTCTTCGAAGCTGTTGTTGATGCAAGATAGAGTGCTTCGAAGCTTACAAAATTATGGCAAAACGGCTTTCGAAGCAACTTATGGCAAAACGGCTTTCGAAGCTGTTTTTGGCCAACATTGTGGTTTATTCAAAACTTATATGTTCTGGTTCACACATAATTAATGGAAATATTAATTTTGTGTTTCGAACCAATTATTAATTCTTCGAAGACACCAAAACTGTTGTTATTCGAGCCAACTTATGATGCCAAAAACAGGCATTATTCGACAACTAATTAATTGTCATTTTACATATATTTGAAGAGATGTACACATTTCGAAAGTTTTCAAAGTTTTATACAGTTTCGAAGGTGAAGTAATCAACCTTCGAAACAACTCTTGATGCTTCGAATGTATCTTCGATGCTTTATACAACTTCGAAGGTAAAGTAATCAACCTTTGGAACAACTCTTGATGCTTCGAATGTATCTTCAAAGCTTTATACAACTTCGAAGGTAAAGTAATCAACCTTTGGAACAACTCTTGATGCTTCGAATGTATCTTCAAAGCTTTATACAACTTCGAAGGTAAAGTAATCAACCTTTGGAACAACTCTTGATGCTTCGAATGTATCTTCAAAGCTTTATACAACTTCGAAGGTAAAGTAATCAACCTTTGGAACAACTCTTGATGCTTCGAATGTATCTTCAAAGCTTTATACAGCTTCGAAAGTAGAGTAATCAACCTATTCACCAATTCCGGCCATTAAGGCCTCAATTAAAGACTTGGTAGTGAGAGTTGACAACTTATCATTTCATTGGCGAATTTCCATATCAAGTTGATGAATTTCTCCAATTAAATGGTGTCTTTTTTCTTCCACCAAATAATATTGTAAGGGATGAAAGTTTATTTCATCAAGAAAATGGATCTCTTCTTGAAGATCCAAAATTTCTCTTTCACGCCAATATATTTCATATTGACAAGTTCGAATGGCGAAATCCAAATCGTTTGCCATTTCTTACACTTCGAGTCCCACTGAGCGTGCCAAAAAATGTTGGCTTATTTTTCCTACGAAGGAAAATATCATAAATGCGAGCGTGCCAACAAGGATTGAAAAATCCTTACAGATTAAATTCAAGCCAATTATCAAGCGATTGTGTTGACGGTTCTTTTGCCTCAACGAAGAGGACTTCAAATTTGCCAAATGTAGAGAAAAGAAAAAGTAAAAGAAGAAAGAGGGACGGAGAAAGACGATTAAGTGAACAATCAAAGTAATAATTACTTACCTCTACTCCTATGCTTCGAAAAGAAAGTGCATAAAATGCTTCGAAATGGAAATGCTGAAAATAAATGCTTCGAAATATAAATCTATGTTAAACTACTCCTAAGATAAGGAAAATGACAAGAAATATTGAAATCAAGTGTTTTTGATTTAAGTTCTGGATCCTTTTACAATGTAGCCATTAATGGCTATTTATAGAAGAAAAAATACAGCAATAACTACTTAGTAACTACCCATTTCTTCCATCTTCATTCTTGTCTTGCCATGTGTCCTTCCACTCATCCACTTTGTCTTCCCACTCATCCACTTTGTCCTTCATATTCTCCATTATCTCTATAACTTCTTTTAACTTCCAAATGAATAAGAGGATGCCACGTGTCCTGCAATTATATAAATAATAAATAATAATAAAAATTGCAGATTTATGGTGCTAACAATAATTTTATTCAACTTTCATTTTGGTTCATATTATTTCAAATTGAACAGTTTGCTTCTTATACTTTAAGTCTAGTTTCAATTTGATTAATCTATTCAAATTTACGTTAAGTTTTTCTACGTATACATTTTAAAAGACTGACAAGTGTCAAAATCGTTAATTTTAACTTTCAACTTAAACATAAGAACTGTAGAGACAAATTGTTCAATTTGAAACAATAGGGACTAAATGAAAATTTAAATCAAATTATAAGAGTAAAAAATATATAATTTATCCTTAATTTTTTGTCAAAAATAAATAAATGAGTATATATATATATGTATGTATATAATATTTTAGGGTTAATTACACTTTTAACCTTGTAATTTGATCCAAAATTCACTTTAATCTCTATATTTCAAATTGAACAATTTGATTTTTACATTTTAAATCAAGTTTCAATTTGGTCTTTCTATTCAATTTTAATTTTTTTTTTTATTTTCCTTTGGATCACCTTAAAAAATTGACAAGTATGTCAAAATTATTAAGTTTAACATCAAATCTGAATGACAATGGTCCAACTAAAATTAAACTTTAAGTGTAAGGATTAAATTATACAATTTGAAATTAAACCTAATAAAGTAAAATTTGGATCAAACTAACCAAGTGACAAGTGTAATTAACCCAATATTTTATTATGTAAACAAAAATTAATAAACTCTAATGCCAGGTTTGTTTTGCGGATTAAGTTGGATGTGATTTTTAGTGAGAGGATGGTTAATGAAGAGATTGTTAATGTATGGATTGTTAGTGAAGGGATTAAATAAAAGTGTATTTATTTTGATGATAGTATAATAGATGGTTAGTGATGAGATTATTAAATTATTTCTATATAAAATAAATAAATAAAATTATTTCTATATTAAAAAAATAAAACAAATATTAAAACAAGTAAGTGCACTTGATAAAAAAAATAAATAAAATTAGAAAAATAATTTTTTTTATATAAAATAGACTCAATCCACTATTTTTTTAATCCTATCTAAAATTTAACCAAACTAATCTTTCTTCACACTATTAATTTCTCCTAAATCATCACCATATAAGATGTAAATAAGACCCACACGTATACTAATCTAATGGGTGATTATTTAATACTCCCGGAGTATGGACGCGTGGTACTTCATAAGGTTTTGATTAGTAAAAAGACACAATGGCTCACAATTTATGTTGGTAATGGGGGAACAACATAAAGTTAAGTCATTGATGATTGATTTGGAGTATGAATACATGATGTTATGGAAGTATTGAATAATTTTCCCTAATGTAATCCAACCTCCTATCCCGCTAAACAAACATGTCCTAAATGTTGCCAAACACACCTTTATGGATTAGTGTGGCGAGGTGTGGTGCGGTGAGGTGTGAGTGTGAGGGGTTGTTTAGAATGATCTAAATAAATGTACTTTTTATCTTTTTAAAAAAAATATATAAAAAAATAAAAAAATAAAATATTTAGAGTATCTCAAACTTGACCTTATTATCATGATGTTTTGTTTGTTATGGCTAAAATAGCCTATTTTGTTTTTTGTGGCTAAAATAGCCAAAAAAACCTCCAACCTCACTTGCCAAACAGAGGCTTTATGGATTAGTGTGGCGAGGTGTGGTGCGGTGAGGTGTGAGTGTGAGGGGTTGTTTGGAATGATCTAAATAAATGTACTTTTTATCTTTTTAAAAAAAATATATAAAAAAATAAAAAAATAAATTATTTAGAGTATCACAAACTTGACCTTATTATCAATTCATTCTTTATTTCAGTTAATTAACCAACGACGCGTTTTAGAACCATTAACGCCTACGCGTTTTGTTTGGGCCCTACAACTACTAGTCTGACTACTACGGCCACCACCTACCTGTTAAAGATCAAACAAGACAAACCGTTGTGTAAATTTATGAAACACTATAAATATATCAATCATGGGTTTTTGTGCTTTTCTAGGCTTTAATAACTGAGAAATGTCGCAGGTTCGACAGTTAGCAGAGAGCAACATTGGATCGCAACCAACCAGCAACATCATCAGCACTTCAGATGATGAGGAGGGATCAACTTTGCTCTCTGCTTTAAGAAAGTCTGCTACTCTTCTTCTTTCTTATTTTTCATTTTTGTAGTGAAATAAGATGAAATCTGAACTGGGTTTTGTTTATTTAGGCCTCCTTTGGAACAAGCTTTTTAAAGTAATTTTTTTGGGTTTTTTTTATTATTATTAAAATATAATGTAAAAACATTAATATATTTGAAATATTTTTTTTACTTTTATAAAAAAGTGTGTAAAAAATAAAGAAAAAATTAATTTTTTTGACTATTTAATATAAGTTTCATTTGGCATTAGTTAATACAATCAATTTTTTGTGTTGAAATTTTTTCGTTTGGATTTTTTTAACTTTTTTAAATTTTGTGAGAGGATGTGATATTTTATCTTATTAACGTATTTAGCTTATTTTATTATTTGTGCTTTTTTTTTAATTTTAAAATGATAGCCAAATTAGGGCACAAACCGTTGCCTTCTTAATTTTTTTAATAATTTTTTAACTTTTAAACTAAAAAATAAAATTACCAGACGACTTCTTAGTCAATGGGGTGTTTGGTGGGGCTTTTTTGAGCCAGCTTATGGCTTCTGGCTTTTAAAAAGTTGTTTTGGACTGTTTGGTTAAACTTATTTCAAACAGCTTCTGATTCTAACAACTTATTTTAAGTCAAAAAAACTGATTCTGAGAAGCTGCTCACCATTTGCTTCTGATTATCAGTTTCTGCTGTGGACATGTTAATTCACGGTTATACCCTTAATTTTTTTTTATTTTTTATTTTTTTAAAAATAGAAAAAGATCCAAATGGACTATAAAATATTGTTATTATTTTTTATGAAAAATGTAAACAAATAGTGAATAATAAAAAATAAAATTAATTGAAAAAGTTACTTCACAACTTATTTAACAAATACTACATAGCAACTTAAATCTATAATCCAGCAGCTATACCAAACAGATTAACAATTTCTGATTAAAGTCATAATCTATAATCTGTTAAGTTATAATTTATAATCTGTTTTAACAGTTACATCAAACAGCACCAATATAGTTGTTGAATATCCTGTGACCATGTACTTATTTTGTTATCCTATTTGTTTTTGTTTTTATTTTTAGAAGTTTGTTCTCTCTCTTCTTCTTCTTCATTTTTGTAGTGAAATAATATGGCCTCTTTTGGCTACTTGACTTTTTATTACTTTTTTTAATTTTGTAACAAAAGTTAAAAGATAGCTTTTTTATATTTAAAGACATTTGAGAAATTGGTTTTTAACCACTAGTTAAATTACAATTCTATTTCTTATAAATCAAAATGTGCTACATATGTAAAGTTATAAATATTTTAAAGTGAATAGAAATAATTTGGTCATTTTATTATGATTTGATATTATAAATAAATATTAATAAAAAAAAGTTAAAAATAAGTTTTTACTAACTTCTCAAATCACTTGTCTAAAAGAGCCAAAAACTTGGTTAAAAATCAAAAAATCACTATATAAAATTATTTTGAGATCACTTCTCAACTTTTAACTTCCTTCTACTTTCAAAAAAAAAATCAAAAAATAAAAAATAAAAAATTATCTTTTAACCATATTTCTAAACTGGGTTTTGCTTAATAAATATTTTAAAGTGAATAGAAATAATTTGGTCATTTTATTATGATTTGATATTATAAATAAATATTAATAAAAAAAGTTAAAAAAAAGTTTTTACTAACTTCTCAAATCACTTGTCTAAAAAAGCTAAAAACTTGGTTAAAAGTCAAAAAAATCACTTTTTACTATCATATCAAAACACTTCTATATAAAATTATTTTGAGAGGTTAAAAAATCACTTCTCAACTTTTAACTTCCTTCTACTTTCAAAAAAAAAATCAAAAATTAAAAAATAAAAAATTATCTTTTAACCATATTTCTAAACTGGGTTTTGCTTATTTTCAATTTAGTTGTTGAATGTACTATGATCATGTTTTGTGATTCTATTTGGGATTTTTTGAATTTTGTTCTTTCTCTTCTTCTTGTTCTTCATTTTTGTAGTGAAATAAGATGAAATCTGTAATGAGCCGTCAATACAGTTGTTGAATGCACTATGACGATGTACTTTTATTGTCATTTTATTTGGGTTTGATTGAACTTTTTCATTTGTTCTTTCTTCAGCGGGGACCTGAATACGATCAAGCATGTAATACAGCCAATTATCGAGCCTTTGATTCGCAGAATTGTAAGTGAATGCCAAACTAGTCGGTACAACACATTTAAGTATATAACATGTTTGTAGAAATGTTTGAATGGTTGTCTGTGTGTATGCATGTGTGAACAGTAGTGGAGCCAGAATTCTCTTGAAGATGGGGGGAGATCTGTATAGTTTTTATGTTCATTCGATGATTAGTGGAAAGATTGATATGATAAACAATTCAAGTTGGACTTAGATCTACCAATATATGAACCCTTGATTTGAGCCAAAGGAATTTAAGAGAAGAGGAAGAAACAAAAAGGAAAGTATTACAATTGAACTAAACCGTTATGGCAATATACATCATCAAATAAATGGGAAAAAGAGATTAGATCCTATATTGTTATGAGCTCTTTTGTGCATATATCAATGGATAAAGCAAAATGATTAGATCCAATATTATTATGAGCTTTTTTATGCATATATCAATGAATAAATGAAAAGAAAACAATTAGATCCAAAATTCTTTTGAGCTTTTTTTGTGCATCAGCTAGATGAAAAGCTAGTTTGATTACTGATTTGAAATCATTTGATATCTACTAGATACTTTGGTGCCAAATAGGTCTAGCCACCAAACTAAACATTATGAGTCCATGTTGTGAATCCTCCTTAACTCCATACATCTAACCTATTAAAGGATGAGCTCTGATCATATCTTCAAGAATTGCACGAGAAGGTGCAAGTAACATATTATATAATATTATGGATTTGATGTATATCCATGCATACATGTATCTCTATGTGTGCTTTTCATGTGTACAGAATAGATAAACAGAAATAAATGTTTTTGTTCATGAGCACATGTGAGCATGTTTATGCATAGTAGATCAGATACCGAAATATAGATATGCATGCATGTATTTATGCATTATTGCTGGCAAACATTATACTTAATCAAAGATTGAGCTTAACCCTATATTTCATGGCCCTCCTGGAGATATGTTGTCCATCATGCTGTCGATGATAGGAAATTCTGTTAGTTGAATAAGTCCTTAGATGAAATATTTTATTTTTTAAAACATTAAACATTGTTTGCCAATAAGGGTGATTCTCCGGTCCATAGTGTTTGAAGCTGCTTTTTGCAGGAGTTGCAAATAAGTTTGCTCTCTTGGTGGATCTTCAGCATTCTATGGGTGGAACTGCTATCAATTGTTTTGGGTTGCTCTAGAGTGTTCGAATCCACTCTTTATACCACTGTGCTTGTATCCATGTCAAATCTTGAAGTTACTTGACTTAGAATTCACATGGTCTACTTTATAGAACAGATCCCAAATGGAGTATCTGTTGTTGCTCTGTTGTGTTTGATACTGCAATTTGCATGTACAAATTTGAAAGCATGACGGTGGTTGAATGAAAATTTGAGAATGGGCTTACTTTGTAGATGGACCCAAGTTCTTTACAAGGGTTATTAACCTTTTTTGTTTTTTTTTTTTTGTGTGTGTGTGTGTGTGTGTGTGTGTGTGTGTGCGTGTGTGTGTGTGTGTCAGCATGCACTTGTAATATTCACTTCAGGCACATACTAGCCTTATGTATTGTTTATAGTTTTTGTTCTATTTATGCTAAACTAATGTCTCTCTCTCCAACTTTTAATTGAAACTTGAATGTTTATGTTTATATTTACAAAAATCTTGAAACTACAAACAAAAACTCGTTTATTTTCGTTTTCAAAAACTTGTAAACGGTAGACAAAAATTATTAATTTTTTATAACCATAAAAAATTGGTTTCACTAGTTTAGGGGAGAAAAAAAAAATTCTTTCTTTCCTTCTTCTCCCACCCCCTTCGGCCATCACCCTTCGCTCATTACCACCTTTGGCCACCAAAACTCCAGAAACAACCTTCACCGTCACCTGCGGCTGCCAACCGCCATTTCCAACCGTCGGAAACCTTCTTCGGCCACCACCTCACATTGCCGCCAACCATCCCACCGCCCGTGCCTAGCAACAACCTTCAACACCACCAACAACCACATCCAGCCACTACCTGCAATCATCAACAACCACCTTTTCCACCACCTCCATCCGGCCACTCCTTTCACTTGTTTTCAAAACAAAATTTTAAAACACTTGTACCAAACATGTTTTTTGTTTTTTACCAAAAATAAATAATAAACTGTAAATATTACTAAATAATACCTTACCGTTTGTGTTTTATTTATGCTAAACTAATGTCCATCTCTCCAACCTTGAAGTGAAACTTGAACATTTAACTTCATTGTTATTGTCTTACTTGGGTGTTTGCATGCCCCATGAATTTGAAAATATTCTGTTGTGTTATGCATAGCATTTGATGGCTGGTGGTTGTTCTGTACATTTGTTAGCTCCAAAAAATGACAACATTTTAATTTTTGTTCTGATGACAGGTCTCTCTGGCTCTGTCTTTTCTCTCTGTCTCTCTCGCTGATAATAATTGATCAAGCTTCTCTCTAGCAGATAATAATTGATCAAGCTTCATCTGAACTATCAGAAATCTGACTGCATGAATCTGTTTTCCAGTCTTTACAAAACCAACTACTTCGGGTCCTAAAATAATCTTTCAGCATATAAACTAAATTGTAGTTGATTTCTCATTTCTGGTTTCCTTGGTACTTGTAATTATGCCCAGGACCAATGAATGACTTATAGATCCTTGTCTTTTGGTATAAATACTCCAATTGTAAATCGATGCAATGAGTAAATTCAATACAATGTTGAGAACCTACACCATTTTATGTTTTTCAGTTCCACAAATTGTCAATCTTAACTATTATATAGATTACTAATATCTCATTGATGCTATATATTTATTACAGGTAAAAGAGGAATTTAAATCGGTGCAGGAAAGGATTTTGACTAGTATGAATCAGTATGTGACAATATTAGGGATCAAATTTGGTTTTGCTTTCGTTTTTCATGAATTGTTTTCATTTTTGTGCTAAAACAGTTTTCAAAACTTTTTTTTTTTATGTTTCCTAGAAAGTGGGTTATTTTTGGAATTTTCTGAAAACAGATTTTAAAAACAGTTCATTAAACAAATTTTCTGTGTTTTTGGAAAAATGAAAAGAGAATGAAAATACAACCAGACGGTTTAAGATTTTGTGTACTCTTCTCTTTTCTCCTAGTGAGAAGGTGGCCAAGCTTAGCCACCCTTCTCTCTCAGTAATAGTGAACACCCTTGTCAATGGCTGATGTATAGCTGACATATCCTCGCAATTCTTATTCAGGAACTCAGCAAATAAGATACATTGTTCTGAGCCAAGAAGCTTGCAACTACGGTTCCTAAACAAACTCTCTCCGCTGTTATTGACAGGAAGAAAAGTTAAAGGAGAAAACTGTTGCTCTGTCAGAATAGATTTAGTTGATGTTATTACAAAGCAAGTTGTCAAATTTGGGCCTGAAGCCTCTGCAAAAGTGGAAATTGTAGTTCTTCGGGTAGATCCTGATAAGGATGAAGAACATGAATGGACACAAGAAGAATTCAACCTAAAGATTGTTAAAGAAAATGAGTCTATTCTAACTAGAAATGCATTTCTCAATCTGAAAGAAGGCATTGGCTCATTAGATGAGATTTCTTTTGCGCATAGATCAAGTTGGATGAAGAAACATGAGTTTAGGCTGGGGGCACGAATTGTGAATAAGTTTGACGGGACTAGAGTAAGAGAAGCAAAGTCGGAGCCCTTCTTCTTAGAGGATTGCCGCAACAAATGTAAGTGGTTCTGATTTTGCAACATTTTTCTACTATCCATTATTCGAAATCTTGTATTTTAGAGAGAAAAAAACATGGGCAATAATTGGTTTATGATGATGCTAAAAGGTTTGTGATGTCTATACATTAAACCAAACCAATCCAATTCTATCTTGCCTAATCTTACCACACATTCAATTAAGAATTCTCATTTCAATCACACTCATTTTATGAACGTGTTATTTCTTTGTTGCTCGACATTTTGTTCTGTAAAGCATTTTGGCCTTACAGCTGTGTTATATAAAATTTTCCTTTTAATTTTGTAGGTATTCGTTGATCACTTAATATACCAGATGCACAGTTGAACTTGAGCCAACCTATTTTGATTTTGTAGATCATATCATCTCCAACCTCACCATCTTTATTAATAATCGAACCTTGGTAACGATGATATTTACTATTTTTTATTTTCTGATTTTCAATCTTCATTTCTCCACTTTTTATATATTTTATGTCACTAAAATTACATTTCATATATTCAGTTTTATTTGTACTAATTTGAAACCATTTTGACCTAAGTGCTTCTCTCCTGATTTCTAAACAAAGACCTTCTAGGGGGGTTAATTTCATATCAGATCAAATTCGACCTAAGAGAAGGCTATAATTAAGATGTCATTCTTTAATCCTGTTGGTATTTTGAAGGTGTGTCATGAAAGTAGGAATAGTAAGAATTGAATGTTTGGTATCTGTTTTGTGTGAAGAACAGAAAATGGGATGCTCACATTGAACTGTTACTTTCACGTCATATAGTGTCCTGTACATATCATTTTTTGTGCAAGTCTGTTAGTTCCATTTGACAACTTCATAATTCTTCAAGGCTTAATATTTCTGGCTCTCAAAAGACAATTATGTTTTTTGGGTTTTCTTGGTTCATGCCCTGAGTCTGGAATGATGATGGAATCATTTAATTTTCCTTTTTAGATTGTTTAGAGTAACAGGGTGTCCACTACGAAGCACGGACACTTCTAAAAGGGTGTCGTGTTGGTGTCGAATACTTTTCCGACATGTGTCTAACACTCATCCAAACGTATCCTATTTTTTTAAATAGAATTTAGAGTTGGACACTCTTTGAACACTTGGAGGACACACGTATCCATTACTTAAACACACGTCTATTGATTAGACACTCACAAAACTAATTATAAATTTTAACAAAATAACTTAGAATACAATGATAAAAGAAAATTAATGTCAATTTATAAAAATTAGTGTTGTATTGCATTTATTTATTGTCTTAGAATGATATATTCATATATATGACATATGATAAATATATAAAATTATATATTCTGTGCATATCCTCCACGTGTCGTGTCCTGTATTTTTTGAAAATTGTCGTGTCGCCGTGTCGGTACGTGTCCATGTTCGTACTTCTTAGGGTGTCCACATGTTGCAGACTCTACATTCTAGGCTCTTACTTATTCTTTATATATATATATATATATTTAAATTCAATTAATTTTAACTTTTACATTAAAATTTCTCCAATTTAATAATGTTTATTTCTTTCCGTTCTCTGCATATACATCATGAAGATATGTTCATGTTCTTGTTTTCAAGTTCCCTATCGTAAGTGAAAAAATAATTAATGTCAGTTAGATGCTTTTTCTAATATGCTCTTACTCCTATTTTCCATAATAGCTTTTTTTTTTATTGAATGATTATAGTCATAACAATGAAACTATATGTTCTGTCATTTATAATAACCTTTTTTTATTAACTTGCTTTCTTTCATTAATACCTAAGAAGCCTATGAAACTGAAAATAGCAAGATCAGAGAATGAAGGTATTCATTACAAAACACAAGTTAGTATAGGATTGGAAATGTGCAGTATAACTTCCGGCTTTTGTTTGCAGTGTACAAGAAGCACTACCCTCCGTCTCTAACTGATAAGGTATGGCGGCTAGAAAACATCGGCAAAGGTGGCTGTATTGATAAGCGTCTAAGTAAGGAAAACATCATAACCGTGGAGGATTTTCTAAAAAAGTTTGTTATAGACCGTCAAGGGCTCCGAGATGTAAGAATTTATTGCTCTTTCATTATTTATTTACCTTTTGACTACTTACTTGTTGTATACTCTACTTATTGCTGTTTTATGTGTCATATTAAATGCAAGGCACTGCCTTCTATAGCCTAAATGTTGCTTTTGAAGGTCGAGTTGTTGATAAACTTGTTCCCATGCATTTCAAAATTTAATTATGCAAATTCTGTTGATAGTCTCATGATTGTGCTCAATACAATAGGTTAAGGGACAACTTTTATCTCGTGATTTGTGAATATCTTTATATATATAAGAAGCACGAACACGGACCCACAACACAACACAGACATGTCGACGTGTCAATTTTTAAAAAAATGCAGTATAAAACACGTGAGGGACACACAAAGTATATGATTTTATATTTTTATTATATTATGTCATATATGTTAATATTTCATTAAAAAATCAACATAATACTAATTCTTAAAGTTTAAAGGATGAGGGATTAATAGGTATAATTTATATTGTTTTTCTTTTATCATTGTATCCTTAAGTTATTTTGTTCAAATTTATAATTTGTTTCATGTCTATTTAAGTGATGGACATAGTCTCTCCCAAGTGTTTGAAGCATATCTAGGTCTAAGACCGATGTTGGGAAGTGTCCAACGAGTGTCAGCGTCGAACACGACAGGGACACACACCTTCTTAGAAGTGTTCGTACTCCTTAGTATATGCGTATTGTGTGTTCGAACTAGGACACACAATGCTGTATCTGTGTTGAACATCTATCAATGCCACCATATTTTTATGTTCATATTAAAATTTTATGGTAAATGCCGACTTCTATGTCTTTGCCTTTGATATGATGTTTTGTAGAGAAAACGTCATGCTGGTGAAGTTAAGGGGTGAAATCAGTGTTTAACAGTAAATCAAATCAAAATTGCAATAAAATTCAAGATGTTTATATATTTACATACAATTTTATTTATTTGCACATGTACACATTGTGATATTTTTGTTAATACTTCAACGCTTTCAACACTCCTGTCTACCAAAGGACAAAGCACTTTGCTCTTCTTCAGCCTATAAAAGTAATAAAGTTACTTGTTTGTTGGCACCTATGCAGATCCTTGGCTCTGCCATGCCTGATAAGAAGTTGGATGTCACCGTGAAACATGCTCTGACCTGTAAACTCGACGAGAGATATCTCTACCCTCCTCCCAGTTCTCAACAAAAAACACGCATAGTTTTCAATGCTGTCGGACAAGTATTGGGAGTATACTCTGAATGCCATTACACTCCTATTGATGACTTGTCTGAAACAAAAAAGGTACACTTTTCTTACCCGTAATCACCTGAAGTTTCTTTCGTCTGTCCATATTTTTGCTTATTTCTAAATCATTATCGATTGATTTTGGCAATAGGCCGATGCACAGAAATTGGTAGTATCTGCATTTGAACACTGGGGGCAAGTGGTCCCTTATGATGATAATTCGCTATTACGGAATGCACTTTCCCCTTCAAATTTAACCTGGCCACAGAGTCCTAGTGGCACTAATGTTTGTACATCGCACGTGATTGCTGAATATGATCATACACAGCCAAGCACTTCTCAGGGTATCATTTCATCCAATGATTTCATTACAACTTCTCACATGATTGATCCTGGCTTGTGTACTATTTGTAATATGGAGTTCACATATGAACCTTTGGCAGCCCCAGTGTTTCAATATGAGCCTTCAGAAGCCCCACACCAAGCTCCAAACCAGATGTGGGATCTAGAGTCCATGATTCGAGATATTGTTCAAGATTTTGAGGAATCTCAGGCTGTTGCCATCGATGAAGCCCAAAGCAGAAAATGGGTACAAATGTTCATTGTGCTGAAATTCTCAGTAAGAATGATAACCAAGGTTTCAGGTCATGTTCGGAAAAAGCAGAGACTTCATTAGTGGACTGTGCATAAAGAATGCTTCAATCTACCTTCCATAGATAAGACTTCTAGGTGCTGCCCGGTAAGGACTGTTGTGCAGTTGTAGAGTGTGACAAGTTTTATTTTTATTAGATTTTTAATGACTATCATAAACCACACTTATGTTCTGGTTATGTTTTATGTTGGTTGTTTTGGTTAAGGTCTTGTTTGGATGCAGTTGTTTTACTACCTTACATTCTAGCTTAAAGCTGCCAGTTGGTATTTCTTAATTTCTTTATTTTATCTGTGCTTTATGTGTAGTGAAGTACTAGTTATGCATGCTAGGCATGGACAATACATCTATAATAGCTTTTAATACCCTACAATGTAAAAGAATACTCTTTATTCTTGTAACTGCATTGCATTGTGGTTTGACATTTTTACAGATTTCCTTTTAGGAAATAAGAGCATCCCTGGTATAATTGATTCAGTTCGGTTTGTCAAGATTGAGAGAGAATTTAGCACTGAATTGAGCCTTTCGGTTTTGCTAGTTGAGGAACCGAAACTGACTACATGTTACGGTTTGATTTAATCGGTATTTCAATTGAGTGTAAATTAGTGATTCAAAGGAAGAGAGAGGGTGGGGGCTGCTCTGTAAATGTTGCCTTCTTTAATTGCAAAACGTGTATTATTAGTCACTTATCTTTTAATGCTCAAAGACTTATAATACAAAAATTATTTATATAACATTTTAGTCGGTTCTGTCAGGCTTGAATCTTATAAAAAAAAAACTAATCAAAAACCAAAATTTGGTTGGTATCAGACGGTCAGATTGATTTCACTTGTTTTTCTTAAAAACATACTCTAAAGCCTAGAGTTTCGTACACCAAAACTAACTAAACTCTAGGTCATGCCCGAGATACCCTTCAACATTTTGCTCTTTACATGCCTAGATCACAAAACACATGAAATATTGAAAAACATGGTCCACAAACTAAGAAGTATGTCCATAATAGAAGAATATTTGGGAAACCCTAAAAACAATGGTAGAAAGAATTATTAAGTAATAGAAACATCCTCTCTTTTTCTTTTCTTTTTCCAATGCTATATTAATCATTTTTTATTTTATTTTATGCTTATTGGGGTGTGATATCATGATCTTCTGTGCAATGTTTTATAAAATTTCCAAGAAGAGGTTTACATCTTGGTCCCCTTGACGTTTTTCCTCAATCAAATTTCACCAAATTTGTTTTTGCTGTTTTTCAAAAGACATTCTAAAAATGAAACCAGAGTGATTTGAACCAAAGAAAGATGATATATTAATGAGCAGATACCGACACCACGCATAAAAAGATTATAAATACAATCTGTAATGAAAATTTGATTCTATAATCCAGTTACTTCATAATAAAAGAGGAAAGAGAATGATCTAATATACATTTTTCTTTTTCTAGCAGTGAGGTGGAAAGGAGTTTCTTTCTTTTTTTGGGTGGATAGGTGGAAAGGAGTTAATTGTTAAAAAGTACAGATTATCAATCCTTTTCCAAATGAAGCTAACTATAAATATGAACTCACGCTTAGGCTACGTATAGAAGATGAAGAGATAGATATATGGAAGCCACAACTTGCAAAGTTATCCAATCTTCACGATGCTTCATTCGGGACTGACATCAACTACTAAGAAACCTTACATCTTGCAAACCTTGCTGTCATTGCATGCTTCACCCTATAGGGACAAAAAACAACAAACACAAGTCATCATTGGATTTGAGGATCAAAATTTCATTTCAGTGTGTTGTTTTGGTTAGCTTGGAAATGGAAACACTTCTGAAACATAGAAGAAATAATGAAAACGGTTGAAAATATTTAAAAACTAAAACTAAAACTTACATAAATATTAATTCATTCTCAAAAATTAAATAATTGAACATGTTGAAATCTATCAATATTATAAGCTCAAAAACACTTAGTTGGGGGAGAGGTTTGTCATTATAAGAAAAAACATTAAAAGAATACAAAATACTAGTAGTGGGGATGGAAAAAGGTGAGCTTATCATGTTTGTTTTATCTTTTCCTCTTCTTATATCTAGCTTCTCAAATTCTCAAATTTTTTTGGATACTTTTCTTTACTCTCAAAATTTTCTTTTCGACAAAAGAGACGAATAAAAATGAGCATTGTTAAATATTCTTAATAGGTATCAAAACAACATCATAGATTTTCAGTGTGTTTTGGTGCATTCCGGTATGTTTTGGTGGACCATTAGAAATTCAGTATTCCACTAATGTTTCATAGTATTTTGGTGCATTTCGGTATGTTTCTATGGAACATTAGAAATTCAGTACTTCACTAATGTTTCGTTTTGGTTTCCTAAGCAACAAAATGTTTTGTCTGTTTTGATGGAAAATAAATGAAATTTTGTTCCTTGATCATTGGATTGCATTTCGTATGGTTATCATGAGTCATCAAAGTTATCCAACAACTCACTCTAATTTTTTTTTTGTTCCTTTAATAATTACAGCCACGAAGGCTAATTCCTGAAATGTGGTCAGCAAACATATGCTCCATCTTTAACCATACTTTCAGTTATATGATTTTCTACTGAAAAGTTCCAAATTAAACTCCAAATTAATGGTTCCAAAGTATGTTGATACAGCATGAATGGCTCTTTCTCTTTCTTGGATTAATTCCCTAAGTTCGAAACTGTCTTTTTTGCCTAAACCAAGAAAAATAGAACCTGAAATAATTTGATGTGTAATTGAATGGAAAAAGAACATAGATGGTTTGTGTATCCAAACCTTTTTCTTCCGCACCTCCAAAACCTCCTCTAAAGGCGGCCGACCTGTAACCAGAAAGGACATTGGCTAAAACCCGTTGGTGAAATTAAGGAAACTGGAGCAATCTGCATTACATATCTTGTGATTTTGTGAGGGATGTAATGGAAGCGTGCTCAGCTTCGAAAGCAGTTAGTGCCCCCTCAAACAGAATTATCAAATAGGGGTATGAATCATGTAACATATGTATTGCATCATGATCATGTATTGTATATCACATCATGATTTTGTAAAATACATTTCGTTTAAGCTATGCATTGATGATATTATAGATTTACCTGTCAAAAGTATCGAATCATAAGATATGTGTTGTGAATTGTATGATGTTGACAACGCTCAAGTATGCCAAAAAAAATATATGCTGGAAGATATAGAAGATAAAATAATTTGTTCTAATGTGACAACATGATATTTGGCAAGAACTCATTGGACAACAATAAAGCATTAACTAAAAGTCGAGAAATGTAAAATTTAGTTTTTTGAGGATAAAAAACTAAGCATATTTAAGTGAAAAGTTGAAGTTATGACACAATGAGCAACGTTGGACACACCTGTGATTTGAAGACGATATTTGGCCCAAACACCATACAGAGCATCAACAATTGTTGCAAACTGTGAATCATGCTTTTAAAATTAAGTACCATGCCATGATGCCAAGAACATAATAATAATAATAATAATAATAAGATCATCTCTGATAATGTTAAAAGCTTATAAGAGGGCTTACTGGTTCATATTTTGTAATGGCATAAATCCATCCCAGATCAACTGCTTCATATAGTCTTCTAAATGCCTGCAAAAGTTTTCATCAGCAAAAGTGTTTTTTTTTATATTTTTTTAAGATGTGTTTTAAACTGAAAGAAAACTAATAACTTCAACTTATATTGGCATTGTCAACTTTGCATTAGCTTCTGTGATCATATGTTAAACACAAGAATCATTTATCAGTGTTCTAATGCCTACTTTGTTCACATCTACAAGTGGGTGCTAACACAATTTATATGAGACAGAATGAAAAACAAATTGATATATTAGTGAGATTCGATAGTTGGATAATGATGACATTGTACATATTGTTCCCAGATTTAGTGTGTTGGTGATTTTCATAGACAAAACGTGTGATTTTCAGGGTCCAAGTGTTCAAGATTGAGAAGCAATCATGTTAATGTACACCTAAACTCCACCTCCACTTCACCTACTCCACTACACACTCCACTTCACCTACTACACCACTCCACCTCCACTTCACCGTACACACAATACATCACAACTTACAACAATCAATAATACAATCATTTCTCTTTATACATTAAATTTCTACATGGTATCAGAGCAGGTTTAGAACCTACTATTTTCGCTTCCCCGGCGGGCGGCAACATCATTTTAGCCGCCCGCTGGACCTCAACCTATTCCGCTTGAATTTTCTACACATACCTTGATCACCCTGCATGTCCTTCCTCCTCCTGCTGCTGAATACTGGTTTGCAACTTTGCTCGGTCAGTTCAATTTACACAAGTTCCTATCCTCTGTCAAAGAGAATGGATTGATGCAACCCTCCGAATCTTCATAGCTACAAAACCTTGGAAGACACCTTTTGCAACAATGGTGGACGAGGACAATGAATCATCATCGGCTACAGTCCTTGATCTCACAAGCTTCCAGCTACACGATCTCGACTCAGTCGAGCTTCCACCGAGTCTGACCGAGTTGGACCTCACCGCCAATCGACTCTCCACCTTGGACCTCCGGATTGCCCACCTTTCCAACCTCAGGAAGCTCTCTCTCCGCCAGAACCTCTTACACAGCCGCCACACCCATTTCTCAGCCTACTCTCTCTCTAGATCGAGAGGCCATCCTTCTTCTTCAACAAGCCAGCACTGCTGCCGTTTGCACAGACCTCCATCGCGGCTTCAAGCAACACCGCCGAAGACCCAACCATCACCGCCGAAGACCCAACCATCAACTTGTTGCAGCTTCGACAGTCGTAGGCGTCGCGGCCCAAGCTGCCACTCACCTTCGGTGCTTCTCTTCAGTGTAACGAGCAGCTCCTCACAGACCCAAACACATCGGAGCTCCATTCCTACTGATCGTAGCTCTCTCAAATCTATGGAGCTTGAGAATGCCATCACAGATCAACGAGTGCTTGTTCTCAATCTTAGATCTGTAGTCTTTGATCTCCGACCTCGGATCTGAGTTTAACCACTATGACTCCGCCGTCACGCGAATCAACAACGGCTAGTCGTCGGAGTCGCTGAAGTTGTCTCTTCTGCCTTAAATCGCCTCAGATCGTCAACAGCATTCTCAAGCTGGTGTGTTTTACTCTCTAGTTGAGAGAGTCTTGCACTGAGCCCATCCACCACATGTAACAGCATCAATGTAGTTCATAGAACTGGAATTTCTGACAAGGGAAGGGCGAGAGTGAGAAGCAGCCAGGGGAGGAACAGGACGAAAACCATAGCTGGGATGGGGATCAAATTCTTCATCGCTTTCTTCGTCGGGGTTAAAGAAGTTGAAGGAGGCTTTGTCTTTGGATCCAGAAAGTTCCATGATTTGCTTGTCCCTGCACTCCGATGACTTCATTGATCCAAATTCAATGTATCTTAACAACAATCCAACCTTCTCCACTCATTTATTTTATTATTATTTTATACAAACCCTACTTTACCCACTTTACCTTTATTTATTTTATTTTATCAACAAAAAAAAAACAAAACAAAACAAAATTCCACTTTTTAGAAATCTCTCTCATTTTATCACTTTTCAACCCACCAAGGCACATGCTTTCGCCATTAATTTTTTTTTTTTTTTTTATTATTATTCTTATTACCCAAAAAAAAAAAAAAAAAAAAAACCATTACAAACAATTTACAAAGTTGCACAACCAACCATATTTTATTCATCTCAGGGAACAACCCCGATCACCCTTCAAAAAAAAAAAAAAAAAAAATCAACAACAACAACAACAACAACAACAACAACAACCAAACAAACAAACAACCAAACAACCAAAACCACATCCACCGGCGGGATTTTTCTTCTCTACTCTGCCGCCGATCTCTTCTTCTTGCCTCCGTCCTGGGCGGCCCTTAACAGTGTTGCCTCCGTGTTTCCCACTCCACTGGGCACGATCACTCCACCCTGCCCTCTCCAAAGGGGCTTATGCACACTACTTGTTGTCTACTAAACGAGCATTAGAGCGAGCGAGCGAAGCCTTCTATTTAGTGGCTTCCCCTCTTTTCCCTCACCCTACTCGTTTATTTCCACCTCCTATGAAGGGTGAACACTTGGAAGTCTAATCAGGTTAAGAGTGAAAAAAGGTCCCAATCTAGCAAGGGTAAGAAACCCCCTAGGTGTTACCCTTCTATTGCATTTGAGCATTAGCATTTCCCCATTTGGTATTGAGTTTCTGAAGGCAGATTTTTAACGAATAATGAAAGAAAATAATATATAAAGGGGAGAAAAGGAGGGCAAAGTAACAGTACTAAAAATTAAATTAGAATTTCAAATAAACTAGACGTCAAATGAATAGAATACTGACAATTTAAAAGGGGCATACCTCAACGTCTGTGACTACAGTTCCATTAGATAAGATGGCATGAATTCTCCCCATAACCTAAGTAACGAAAAGAAGTATACCATAAGATCTTAGTTATGTGCAATATGTAGATGATAAAGTAGATTTGGGGACACAGATTGAAGTTAACACAAGAAGCCAGTCTTATGAGGTTGGAAACCGAAAATTTATTTCAGAATGATAGTAACAGATTACATATTATTGCCTACTTCCCTCCAATGCCATTGATTACTAGTATATACATATTATCTTAAAACATGTCTAGTCAGGGATTATTTAGTGTAGTTAACACAACAACAACATAGATCCAAAAAAGCTGATTAACTTACTGTTTTGTAGTCAAGGTCTTGATTCTCCTTTGGACTGTATTCATCAGAACTTATGTCAACAAACTTGATTGTTCCATATCGCTTATTCCTCTCTCTTAGCATGCTGACCTGATAATATAGTGACACAAACATAAACATTTTCACATTAACCCCGTTTTTTTCAGATATAAATACTCAACAACACAATCCCCAAACACACCTATAAAGCACCGACACTTCAAAACAAGTGTCGTATTGTATCGGACACACGGACACTTCAGAGACACATATGGAATACACCACATGGTTTGTCTCTTTATTTAATTAATTTATTTTTAGGAGACATGCTAGGGACACTTTGGGAACACGCTAGGGACATGCCAAGTTATCTTTTCTCCCATTTTATTTAGTGGTTTTGATGAATGTTAAATATTTATTGTTTTTTTCTTAAATTTAAATACTTAATAGATCATCCATAAAATATATATATATATATATATAAATTGTAAGCATTAATTTAAAAGTGCTTGTTTTAAATAAAAATAAAAAAAGAATTAGAGTTAGTTTTTGTTAATATTAATTGTTTGTGAATGTAATATTAATCTACATACCAAATAAAAATATATAAAAACATATTTTATTGTTGTGTCCCAACCGTGTCTGTGTCCCTATTTTTTTGAAATCGCCGTATCTCGTTTCTATATCTATGTCCGTGTCCGCATCTATATCCGTATCCATGCTTCTTAGCCCCACACTAGTACAATAACTGGTGATACCTCTCGCATGCAAAGCGGGCATTCACCGTCATAAAGCATTTTAATCTTCCAATTTTCGGATGACTGTTCTTCATCTTCCTTACTGGGAGCAACAGGATCCATACACGACCATACCGTATCTCCTATCCTGTTTTATTTTATTTATCAGTTTACTTTCCTGTTTTGTTACTCTCTTCAAACTCAAGTTGGTTAGTTCCTATCCTCCTTGAGTTTGAGGGGGGCTGTTAATGTATACCTAAACTCCACCTCCACTTCACCTACTCCACTACACACTCCACTTCACCTACTACACCACTCCACCTCCACTTTACCTACTCCACTACACACTCCACTTCACCTACTCCACATCTCCATCTCCTATATAATGTACACACAATACATCACAACTTACAACAATCAATAATACAATCATTTCTCTTTATACATTAAATTTCTACAAATCAGAGATAATGAAAAGAGTGCTCTGATCTGATCTCAGGTAAAACAATATGAACATACTGCATTAGTGTAGGACACGAGCTCTACATGTTATTTAGTGTCAAAATCATCAAAATTGTCCTGTGAAGTTGTTGGCTTAAAAAAGTTCATAATATTACAATTTCGGCAAGACTGGTGTGCCTTAGTGACTTGCCGCTAGGAATCCATGCATAGCTCGGTTTTGGAGTGGATGTTGTCATGTCTGATTATGATAAAATAGGCAAGGAGGACCTAGAAGTAATTGCCATGAAATTTAAGAAGTGCATTTTTCCCCATCTAAGAATCTTCATCTGCTCCAAGTGGGCGAACTAGAATCCTTATGTCAGGATAGTTGTTTACTTACAAGCTTGTGCAGTACTCGCCCCCCCTCTCCAAAGGGGCTTATGCACACTACTTGTTGTCTACTAAACGAGCATTAGAGCGAGCGAGCGAAGCTTCTATTTAGTGGCTTCCCCTCTTTTCCCTCACCCTACTCGTTTATTTCCACCTCCTATGAAGGGTGAACACTTGGAAGTCTAATCAGGTTAAGAGTGAAAAAAGGTCCCAATCTAGCAAGGGTAAGAAACCCCCTAGGTGTTACCCTTCTATTGCATTTGAGCATTAGCATATATATATATATATATATATATAAATTGTAAGCATTAATTTAAAAGTGCTTGTTTTAAATAAAAAAAAAAAGAATTAGAATTAGTTTTTGTTAATATTAATTGTTTGTGAATGTAATATTAATCTACATAGCAAATAAAAATATATAAAAACATATTTTATTGTTGTGTCCCCACCGTGTCTGTGTCTCTATTTTTTTGAAATCGCCGTATCTCGTTTCTATATCTATGTCCATGTCCGCATCTATATCCGTATCCATGCTTCTTAGCCCCACACTAGTACAATAACTGGTGATACCTCTCGCATGCAAAGCGGGCATTCACCGTCATAAAGCATTTTAATCTTCCAATTTTCGGATGACTGTTCTTCATCTTCCTTACTGGGAGCAACAGGATCCATGGTTGCCCCTTGTATTGCACAAATTGAATATTTAACTGCTGAAATAGGAAAGACGATGTACTCAAAATTGGAATATTATCAATACCCAACTAAGTGGATTACAATTCTTCGCCCAGTGATCTATCAAACTTAATTTAAGAAGATTTAACAGTATCAAATACAATTCAAAAAGAAAACATATAAATGTAAAACCAAATACGAAAACCATGAAGCCAATCTACAAATCCCATGAAGCACTTGACCCTCTTGGGGCAAGTGAGTATGTGCGACATGATTGTATATAGTCAGAACTAGTTGGGGCAAAACCCTGGATATCATAACAGAACTCAAGTTTCACTTGGAAACTATACAATACACATACATGGCTATGCATCTATTCCATTCTATTATATGAAGCACCTAACTAGAACAATTTTGAAGCTTTGTCACACTTACTTTTTTAAAGAATGCCCATATAGTAAATAACTACTAACAGAATTAGAATTCAACCCATCTTCCCCATTCATCAAACCGCCAAATAATTTAGATGTAAAATTGAAAATGCATAACATTTTCACCCACGGCTATATCTATATCTATACTATTATTATGCAAGACAAACAAATTGGATGCTTTTGAAGCTTTGTCGCAGCTTCTTCCATTCCGAAATACCCTCATGTAATTGCCCATATCAAATTTTTCAATTACTTGCAGCTTTAACACATTTATCAATTGTGCACATATATATATACACACATATATGCAGAGATTAATGCAGTATCAAATACAATTAAAAAGGGGTTAATTACACTTTTCACCCTTGTAGTTAAGCTCAAATTTCACTTTAATCCTTATAGTTTCAATTCAAACAATTTGATCAATATATAGTAAGTCTAGTTTTTATTTGGTCATTCAATCTAAATTGGAGGATAAAATTAACAATTTAGAACACTTGTTAATTTTATAAGATTTCAATTAAGTCATTCTGCCTAAATTAGAAATTGAAATTAACAATTTTGACTTCTTAATTTTCTTAGTATAAACGTAGACAAAATTAATAAAAAATTTAAACGCATGATCATATATGAAAACCATGAAACACCTCAGGAAGCATAGGCCACGAGTTTGAATGAATTAAATCCACAAAACCCCCTTAGGGCCACACAATCCGATCACATACATATATATATATATATATATACAAAGAAAGATAGGAGTGGTTACCAGATTGGGTATTTGGATGTGAAATGGGTGGAGGATGGAAAGGGTGTGAAGAAGCAGGGACATGGATTGTTGTGGTTCGGAGATAGGTAGGGATTACAGGGAAGAAGAGAGATGATGAGTTTGCTCTTCTTCCAATCGTCGTTACTGTACCTCTAATTGCCATTTCTTCTGTGTGCTTTGTGTGGTGGGTTTTGATTTAGGTTAGGGACTGTTGTGTTGTGATGATGAATTGAGATCTGATTGAGAATTTAGTTTAGTCAGTTATAAACGGCTCTACCCATGAAACTAGGTGCCCACGTGGCAACAGTGGGTTCATCCATCCAAATTATTCTCGCGGCAGTGAAGACTGCACGCCGCTGCACCTGATCCCTGTCGTCCCCAAATCTATTTTCGGATTGAGCATTGATAGGGACTCTCCAATCACCACCCACAAGAAAGGAAAAAAAATTAAAAGTAAACAGAAAAATAGTCAATCAAAAAAGAAAAAAAAATATTAAAAGTAAACAGAAAAATAGTCAATCAAAAAAAAAAAAAGGGATCAAAAGGTCTCCCTAATATTAGATTCTATGAAATTATTTATAATATATATGTATATATATATTATTTATAGTTGAGAGGTTTAAATAGGCAATTTTATATAATTGAGAGGTGAATTAATAATTCAGTCATAAATTGAGGGGTGTCTAGGAAATTAACCATTTCCCAAATCAGTGCCATTATTGGGTAGCTTTCATGTATGCTGTACTTCTTCCTACTACTACTACTACTCTCTCTGTCTCTCTCTCTCCGTCTCTCTCTCTCTCTCTCAACTCAATAATGGCGTTTCTTCTCAACAAAACCATTTTTCTCTCTCATCTACGCTAATATTCATCGCTCTCCGTCCTCCTCGTGTTCAAACTTCGCTTCACTCCGAATAACTAGAGAACACAACGATGGTGAGCTACCCAGCGAGTGGTGGCTGGAATACCCCTCCAACAATCAAGTTAGCACAGTTTTAAAGAGAGAGAAGACAAAAGTGAGATAGAGCTCTAATAACCAAGAGGTCTCAATGTGTAAAAGTTCAGACCTGTTGTATGGAGGCGCCGCACAGTTTAAATAGTTCCTGCACGCACCACTCTACTCATCCTTTTTTGGACGCATGTATATATTTCCTTCTCTATTCCTTACACGTGCACGCGTCAATACTGCCAAACAACTTTTGGCCAAACTGCCAAACGGTACTGACACACAACTTTAGTGAATTCCTCTCCTTACATTCCGATTGAGCCACATAGCAAATCCTACCGAGTTACTTCCTGCATGGCGCTACAGTCCGCCCTATGAAACCGCATTACTCTCGATCAGCCAAAATCTTAGGCATCTAGCCGACTTCTTCAGCCATACCCATTCGGTCCTGCTGACCTTGCTCGGCCTTAGACCATCTCTTCACCTAGCTCGATTAATGATCCACGCCAAACAACTAGCTCGGTCCAACTTTCGGACCTTGGGCTAACTCAGCCGCGTGATCTAGAACCTCGGCCAAACTGCCCTCGGCTATGCCAACTCGGTCACGTAATTCAACGGCAAGGCCCACATCACAACTAGCTCAACCCGTTTGCTTGGCGCAAACTCCCCTCTAAATTGCCCCTTAATTCTGTTCGCATTCGCGTGACCGGAATTACATTACTAGGCCGAGCTAGACTCTTTGCTCAGTCATTGGCCTTAAATCCCTTCTATTATACATGATTGGGATTACTCAACTTCAGCTCGGTTTAGGAATTTCAAAGTTGGCGAGCAAAGTCAGCTCGACAACTTGTTTCTTGGTGAGCAAAATCTGCTCGGTAAGGAGCTTCAAAGTTGGCGAGCAAGGTCAGCTCAACAACTTGCTTCTTGGTGCATAAAATCAGCTCAGCAACTTCCTTGGCGAGCAAAATCAACTTGGCAAGGACTTTCAAAGTTGGCGAGGAAAGTCAGTTCGGCAACTTGCTTCTTGACGAGCAAAATTATCTCTGTAAGGAACTTCAAAGTTGGCAAGCAAAGTCAGCTCGACAACTTGCTTCTTAGCGGGCAAAAGCAGCTCGGCAAGGAACTCCAAAGTTGGCAAGCAAGGTCAGCTCGGCAACTTACTTCTTGGTAAGCAAAATCAGCTCGACAGGGAATTTCAACGTTGGCGAGCAAAGTTAGCTCGATAACTTGCTACTTGGCCAGCAAAATCAGCTCGACAAGGAACTCCAAAGTTGGCGAACAAGATCAGCTCAGCATCTTGCTTCTTGGCAAGCAAAATCAGCTCGGCAAGGAACTTCAACGTTGGTGAGCAAAGTCAGCTTGGCAACTTGCTTCTTAGTGAGCAAAATCAACTCAGCAAGGAACTCCAAAGTCGGCGAGCAAGGTCAGTTTAGTAACTTGCTTCTTGGCGAGCAAAATCAACTCGGCAAAGAATTTCAACGTTGGCAAGCAAAGTCAGCTCGACAACTTACTTCTTGATGAGCAAAATTAGCTCGGCAAGGAACTTCAAAGTTGGCGAGCAAAGTCAGCTCGACAACTTGCTTCTTGGCAAGCAAAATCATCTCGGCAAGGAATTCTAAAGTTGATCAAAACCATAAACAAACATCTTGCCGAGCAAAATCCGTCCAAAGTTGAACAAAACCATCAACAAATCTCTTGTCGAGCAAAATCCGCCTATTAAGGAATTCCAAAGTTGGCGAGCAAGGTCAGCTTGGTAACTTCCTTCTTGGCGAGCAAAATCAGCTCGGCAAGACTTCTTAGCAAGTAAAATCAACTCGGCAAAGAATTCTAAAGTTAATCAAAACCATCAACAAACCTCTTGCCAAGTAAAATCCGCCCGTCAAGAAATTCCAAAGTTGAATAAAACCATAAACAAACCTCTTGCCGAGCATAATCCACCCGGCAAGGAATTTCAAAATCGATCAAAACCATCAACAAACTTTTTGCCAAGCAAAATCCACTCACAAGGAATTCCAAAGACAGAGAGCAAAGTCAACTCAACAATTTACACCTTGGCGAGCAAAATCAACTCGGCAAGACTTCTCGGTAAGCAAAATCAACTTGGCAAGGAATTCTAAAGTTGATCAAAACCATCAATAAATCTCTTGCCAAGAAAAATCTGTTCGGCAAGGAATTCCAAAATTAAACAAAACCATTAACAAACCTCTTGCCGAGTAAAATTCGCCCAGTAAGGAATTCCAAAGTTGATCAAAACCATCAACAAACCTCTTGCTGAGCAAAATCCATTTGGCAAGGAATTCCAAAGTTGAACAAAACCATCAACAAACCTCTTGCTGAGCAAAATTTGCCCAGAAAGGAATTCTAAAGTTAGCAAGCAAGGTCAGCTTGGCAACTTGCTTCTTGACGAACAAAATCAGCTCAACAAGACTTTTTGGTGAGTTAAATTAGCTCAGCAAGGAATTCTAAAGTTGATCAAACCATCAACAAACCTCTTGCCAAAAAAAATCCGTCCGGCAAGAAATTTTGATCTTTTCGTCAAAATGACCGTCAGTTGTCCCTTGGACTGCGCTAAATCTGCTTGGTGGGACGAAAATACAACAATTCTCAAAAAATGATCTACTTGTTTCATTACGTCAATAGTAGAAAGGGTTACAAAAGTAAAACTAAGAATAAAAGTTCATATGGCAATATTCGGTGTTCCGAAAATAGATCAACAATTTATATTCTGCGAGTTTTATGTCCCTTTTCCTCGGCCTTCTTACTGACGTCTTCCAAAACTAAACTCCCTAGATCTCTTCCATGGTTAATTACACGACCATCCTCTTGTCCAACTGCATTGACTTTTCCCACGATTCTTTTGTCCGCCACTACTGGATTTGTCTTCATAGCAGCCGCAACCATGTCATGTTCAACTTTGATGTGTTCATTAATCCTTTGCATCAACAGCTTCATTGTTGTGGGTTGATTTATCGTGAGCTTATCCCACAGCCCATGTCCGATTAGAAGACCACGCTTGTACTGGGTGATAACCAACTTTGAGTGGGCATTCATATATCTCGTTGAATGTCTCCTAATATTTGGCATTGTACGCCTTCAAGGAGTCGCCTATTTCCATCTTGATTCCCAAAAGGCGGTTGACTTATTTAGGTGTTTTGGTGTTGGTCTTGAATCGTGTCACGAATACCTTCACCAATCATAACCTACATCTCGATACTTTCTTCTGACAGCCTCTCAAACCATTACAGGCTTGACTCACCCAAACTCAATGGAAAAACAAGGCACGTGAGTGCATCATTTCGCATGTGCCCAGTCATAACCTACCGAAAATGGCTTACGTACATGTACGGATCGGTCTTTCTATTATAGAGCATAAACATTGGTTGATGGAACCCGGGGGGGAGCGGTGTGTTCTCGATCTCTACGGAAAAAGGGATGGCGCTCAACCTTGCTAACTCTTTTTCTAGTGGCACGTATGCCGCCATGCGTGGTGGTGGCATGGCGACCTCTTCACTGGCTCACCCTCTAGAGGCCAACCGCTACAATGCAGGCACCCTTTGAGTTTTTCACCGGTGAGCTCGCTTCTCCAACACATCCCTCAGGTCTTTTGAACGGTTGGAGCATGAATATCTCGACGCCATCGTCGGACGTGAGGGGTGGTAACTGCTGTCCTACGTACGAGATGTCGCCGCCAGCGCGACGTAGTCTCCAACTCTGAAGTTTCTTGTGACGAAGAGTGAAGGCATGCGGCGTTTATTTTGACTGTCAGAACAGCAAGAATGGGCGTGCTCACTGTGATTTCCCACTCCAACAACGCCCTTTTCCCTTCATCTAGCATTTCATGGCCTCTATCTCCGTCGCCATCTTCTTGATGATGGTATCTTGATCTCTCAACTTGCCTTCCCGCTGCTGAGTGTGTGAGTCTTGCCATTGTAGACACCCCAATTTTGACCGACCCTAAGACTTGGGCGCTTTCTTTTAATTACCCGATGATGACAATTAGAATGTGTTTCTCACAGAATCCACAGTAAGAGAGATGAAATTTGAACTTTAATCCCAACCTTCACCATTATGGCCCAATTGTTTTAAACTACAAAATATTTTATTAGTATAGTATTTTGTAATTTTGAATAATTTTATGTGTTTATTCATATTTTTGGTGTTTTTATATAAATTGGTATAAATTATATATTTTTGTTATCATATATTATATTATATATATTATAGAAAAATAATAAAAAAAATTTATGTCGGTCAGCCCTTGGCTGCCGACATCCAAATCCAAGCACATAATGCATATATATATTCTATTAGATATTTATTATATTATATGTATATAGTTTGTTTGTGGAGAGAGTTTGGCTGGCCTGCTGGACTCAATTGCATATAGATATATATTATATAATATTTATATTATTATATTTTATTTTGTTTGTTTGTGTCTTCCTAGTTGTTGCTTATATAAAGCAATCAAATGGAGAGGAGGAAGGGGGGATCAGAGAGAAAAAAATGAAGTGGTGCGAGAGAGTTTGAGAGAAAAAGAATCAGAAATAAAGAAAATTAGTTTTTTTTTTAG